GGAACATGATAAAATACTGCATGTCATTACCCGAAGGGATTGGTAAGGCAGATAGACTGACATCAACCAGTTATTTTGGCAACCAACAATTTCCAGAAATATTGCTTTGTCATTGCTACAACATTTTATTAAAGGTTATAGGGCCACGTAAGGATTTGAAAACTTAAAATATTGAATTCTTATTATTCTTATTTGGAGCCGTGGCCCGTGGCATGCGCTTCTGACCTATATCATCGCGGATGCCATGTTTAAACATCTGTCTTCGTAATACCGTGGCTCCATTTGTGATAAAATGCGCCTCACCTCAAATCCAGGCGCACTTCTTCCCACGTTATTCCGAACCATTTCACAGTACATTAAACCGATGTATTTTACGTGCCACCGCTAACATATAGTATTCTCAAGGGATACCATGGATTATATAGATAAAAATATGAAGTGAAATTGTTTTATATGAGAACAAATATTTTGGGTTGAAATACAAAAAGATGTATAGCGCCTGGCAAGCCTTTTCTTAGTTATGTTAATACCTAGATTTATAAAACTGTTTTTAAACGCTAGAAATAATTATACGTAGTTTAATCACTAAACCTGAGACTACCGCCATACAAACTCACACTCTCATGGTAGGTTGCCTTCGTGTCCACGAGACCAATAGTTAGTTCAAAGACCAATTTGTTTAAAAGGTCATACTTACATAAATTTAGATAATTGATATTATTATTGTAGAAAAACCTACGCCATCATGAAGAATACTAATTTTAGGAATTGCGTATGGGACTAAAATGGTTTTTAGTGAAATTACTGTATAAAACTAGGAATGTGTCGTGGTTAAGTAGCTCACATCTGCTACGGTAATCTGCTACAACTGAAAGGCGCGTAGCACACACGTAGCGCTGTCATCGTGCTTGTATTTGTACTTACAGTTTTTCTACAGGTGTATAAATGTACGAATTTAAGTTTTCCGCAATTATCACGCGAATGGCCCAACCGATTTTGATGTGGTTTTCAAAAAGGCTTTGTTATACTTAGCAGTAGGTTTGTTGTTTCTGTGTTTGTTACACTTGGGTACCTATACCTCTATAAACTGACCTCAAAACGGGAGGATGTTAGGGACACTTTTTATAAAAGAGTTAAGAGTTTAAAAAACTTACAAGTGACTAGCACTTGTAAGTTTTTTCTGACTGTTGTAAATTAGTTTTACCGCATAGTGTTTAGTCATGATAGTGTGAAATACGTTTAAACAAAACAAACAAACAAGAATGAAACAAAATATCAACGCCGATCCTTTTGTTTGTCGATCGTCTGATGAATTATTATTGAAATTGTAAATAAAATGTACCCAATTCAAAGACTTTTTTTTTATTATAAACATGTAGGTAGTAACACGTCACTATGACATATAAAGTAAGTAATTGTTACATTATTTAATGACGATGAACATCTATAATGTAACGGAATCATGTCAAGATGTAATTAATCAAGGGATTAGTAGTACATTAAAATTAATCAGTACTGTTTGTACTGCTATTATACCAAGTAAGTACTGTATACATAATAAGTACTTGAATTCTGCATGGAAACACGTGTATTTAGAATACCCAGATGACACTTAATACAAACATATTCACAGAAGACAGTAATATGCATTAATATTTTACGAAACTGAGATAACACGGATCCAAATACAAACTAAAATACAGCTGAGAAAAGTTGATAAAACCTGAAGCAGTTCTGAAAACCTCGTTAGCAGTGGATATGGATGCAATCACCTGATAAACTCCATTTTCTAACGTTCGCTCCAATATGTTGTTAGATCCATTAACCAGAAGACATAATCTTTAGCCATCAGACCACCACAGATGGGGCCCAATAGGGCCGATGCCGATTCGGAGTCGCGGAGAACCTAACGGGTAACCGGGGCTCCGGCTCGACGTGCAGGAGAAGGAACGGGGTGGTTTTTAGTCAGTAAGAGTCTGACACTCCCTTCCGCCTCACCCAGGCGGGAGCAGTCATTCGATGATTTTTTGAAAAAGACATGATCTTTCTTTGTTTTAAACAAAAGCAAACATTGCCTTGTTTTGATCTTTTTGTCACTGTGATACTAAGATTCGATTTCGAATCGAGCATAGGAACTTGATATATATACTGGAATCTTGCAACGGTATCTCTATGACACGCAACATAGCTAGTAAAAAGTTTTATAAAAAAAAGTTATTTTTAAGGAGAATAAAAACAAGATAAGGAGAAGAATATGTAAAAATTGCAAACAATCCAATCTCTTTGCTTGGCCTTCAGCCCAAAATTCTTCAGTTGGTTAATGGCTTTTAGTATTCTACAGCGTGCCAATGCCAGCCAACTCGGTAATCAATTATGATCCTTACAAACCCGTTCAATATTTGAGGCACAAACAACATACATCGTTAATATTACGGGGAATAGCTTCGGTTTTAGGATTAAGTTCCTGATAATATCTATCAACAAGAATATTCCATGTACATGTTGCTATGAAAACCTGAGCTAAGTAAGATACTTTCTGAGATTTTCTAGTAAAAGCATTTGAACGCTCTTAGAAGCGAACCTAAGTTGTATAGTTCTTGCTTGGTTCATGGTTTATTTAGATATCTTGCAACAATCTCTTGATCGGTAAATCGTTTACATACTTAAGTTGATAAAATCTTACCTGTGTAGGCCTATCTATCTACATAACAATAAATCATTACATATTTTGCTGAACCTGAATTAATTTCTCACATATAAATTTTATTTAGTTCATACCATTTCTAAGTCTAGCTTACCATAACACTAATTTATGATGATAAGGGCCAATAAATTCGATTGTTTAAAAGAAATTTTCCAACAGAACACGTAACAATGTGAAACCTAAGAATTACTAATATAAGGACTTTAGAATACTACTTTAGAATACTATATTTCCATTTATCAACATTTTGAAAATGCTTTGCCATGCTTTGGTATATTGGGTGCTATAGTATCCTAAAGTTGCATAATAAATTAATAGTTGTTATTTGAGGTTTGTTTACAGCAATAGTGTGTTTAACAACAGAAGGACCACCGTAATAGTGTGATAGAAGATGACCTGTGTATTTGACATAAGGAGGATTTAATAGTGAATAAGATGCCATTAGACACTGGCAGTATAGTCGACAAGATCGTTTCGGAGACTCCTTTGCCAAAGAAGAGAAAAAAAACAAATGCCATTAAGGCACAGTCATACCAAACTGAGAGGTGCGTCACGTGTTTTCATGTCAATTGATTGCCTGTGAAGTAGCAATTCAAACGAGAACTTTCTTCTGGCTCAGACATAACGATGACAAATAGAGTTACCTCTCTTAAACCACGGCATTTTTTTAGAAGTAGTGTGTGAATAGGTGTGGTTGTTAAACATACAAGACTATAATCCAAAATGCCCCCCTATTTTAGACGATAGTCTTGTATGATTCTTAATTATTTGTAATAGAACTTTGGATCTATACCTTATATGTCGGTCTTGTAAATATAAAATAACTAGTTCAAATTCAAACATAAGTTTCAAACTCCCAAATGACAACTACCTACATGAATTCACTTTATGTATCTTTCATACTCTGTGAACTAACTTCAAAGACTCTTACCATTTAATAAGTAATCACTGGTAATATATAAATAAATATGCTGTTAAAAATTGCTATCATATTTGAAAAGGCTAGAAAGTGAAATGATCCATTTTATCAAAGTAAAATTTTTAAATAGACTGTTCGTATGAAAGCGACCAAGTCTACCACAAGTTCTAAGAAAGAATTGTCCGAAGATATTGTTTTATACCTAGACGTTATATTCTAATAGAGTTTAGATTTCTATGTGCAGGTACATCGATAATGACGCACTTCTTGTTAGACGTGCTTAAGTACATCGCTTATTCCGCGTACAGTTACATAGATTTTTTTTTAAGGGGGGAAAATCATCGAATGACTGCCCCCACCTGGGTGAGGCGGGAGGGAGTGTCAGACTCTTATTGACTAAAAACCACCCCGTTCCTTCTCCTGCACGTCGAGCCGGAGCCCCGGTTACCCGTTAGGTTCTCCGCGAACAGTTACATAGATAGGGTTGCAAATAGGAAAAGGTATCACGCACTCTTGACGCACGCCAATTGAGTTCTATGCTATAGTAGACGAAGCTATCGCAAAACCTCCGTGCTCACAAAATGAGCGAAATCAAAAATAATATATATTAAAGTAGGTCACTTATGGTTTGTCCTCAAAATGGAACATACAATTTCTTGTTCGTTGATCGCTCTTGCGACTTAATCAACGAGGAAATTGAAAAAACTCACTATAAATATTTGATCTGGCTATTTATAACACAATGTCACCTTTCCTTGGTATGTTGTTATCATTTTGTATGAATAATACTGTGCATATGAATAGATATTTAGAGTCGGCTTAAGCCCCTTGTCTTACGTGCTCGCTTCGTGACCCAGTATGCGATCATAGGCCCCATTTACTCGTTCTAAGCTCGACGTCAAATTTCTCTAAGCTACGAGTTTACACGTCTCAACGCCATTGTTTATTATGTATGTTCTACCAGTGCTACTATTTCAGTTTACCTACATACGTTCGAATATCAACTTGGCTGCCTTTTGGAATAGCTATAGATACAAGTGTGTCTGCTGAGTCAGAATCCAATATCCTGGTATCTCATTTCCTGATTTGAGAAAAAAAACATTGCGTTTTAGGTTTCAGAATTTTCTATGATGTTGACGGTGTGGAATCAGTTATAATCTTGATACAGTACAGGTATAATTTGCCCCTTTAACCCATGCGTACCTATGATAAGCCAATTTCTTCTGGTAATAAAAGACAACGATAGTACTCAAACAGAGTGATTATTAAAAATATATGAAGCTTTACTTTACTTTTAAAGGCAACTTGCTAAGAGTATTTAAACTAAGGCAATTTGGTACGTATATGTTTGACCATATCCTGTTTTTTGTTTAACAGTTCCAAGCCGCGTTGCTCCAGCGATGGCTGCTGCCACACTTCATGTGTCCATTCTGTCCGTTCGTGCAAGCGCTGAGCGTCAACGTCAGTGTGTTTACGTTGACTGCCATTGCCGTGGACAGACATCGGGCGATTATCACACCTCTCAGGTAAATTAAATATTTATTTTTTAACCTTTTTTTGTTTCAAACACAGCATCAAATTATGATTGTAAAGAGTGTTACGGTGGTAGGTTTTACGTTGTGTGACAACATTTTTGCTATAAATATGACTAATATTTTCCACAAATTTACAATCAGTGCTACTCCTACGGATTTGTCTTCAAATAATACCATCCCACATTTTGTTCTACTCGAAAATAGAAATAACTTAAGCTAATATGGATTATACTACTTACTAGAATAAAGCGATACTCTGATTTAATAAATTCTTATCTATACCGACTTATCCTATTCAGATAAGAACATGCGTAATTTCAGAAAACTGGTTATGTTGTGTTCTGTGCGTAGGTAATTGGTATTGGCTCTTGACATACAACAAAATAAGCACTAAATCTCGTTCGGGCTTACATAATAGGATTGCGATAGAAGCCTATTATTATTCATCTTAAATATTTGATGTCAGGTTAAGTACAAAAACCCAGGCATTGTATACCCATTTCATATCTTATCTATGACATAGGACAAACTACAATTTCCAAAACAAATTGAAGTAGTATTCTCGTAAAAAATCTCAAGAGGGCTATTCACAAACCTTGTATATGTGCTTATACGGAGATTCTAAAGGCAGCTCAGCTCATGACGTCATAATTTCTTGCGAAAATGAAGGGAGAGGGTTTTGCTGGTCCATTAAGTAAATGATTCTTCGGGTAAACAATACCCAAAAACTCAAACTGAAAGTTGTTTAGTTAGAAGCACGTAGTAAGTTTTGCTAGTCACGTTGTTATGCTTATGAACCTTTCCCAATCGATAAGACTATCTACAGCAAAGCGATAGTGGTGTAAATAGACTTGTCACGACCAGTTGGGCTGACAATACCTATAGTATATAAGTAGAACGGATCTTTAGTAACGCTGAATAATAGGTAAGCGGTCGAAAATATTTGTGCATTTTTATGACGTCACAAAACAATGTTACGTATCGAGTATATTATTATTACATACCTCCAATTATAAACGCCATGGGGGCCACCGGCGACTGAAATTAGCGGAAGATTTCCCTTCTACTGGCAGTCAAAATTTTAAACTACTTTTAAAAATTCTTAAAGATGGTTTTTCTCAAGGTTTCATGCTCAATAATGTTAATTTACTTTAGTAAAGATTTTCAGCATATGCCAACTCATTCGTTATGTAACTTTTGTCAAAATATACCTAAGCGTACAACAAAACAAGTTCTAGAAAGGGTACTAAGTAGGTCCTATCCTCTTGCTTGCTCTTATTTTATTTTCTGTAAGTTTATATGTAAATTGAACGTACTCGCGTTACGTAAGTACCTAAACATTGTTTATTATCGCTTTTATATTTTCCTCTTGATATTTTTTCGGGTAGGTTACCGAATCATACAATTTATTGGTTTACATGGGCTTGGCAGTATGTAAATATAACTTGGAGTTTTATGCTGACATTATATTGAAAATCATAGCCAGTTTTATTGGGGGATATTTCTTTCTTTTTTAGGTACTGTATCTAAAAGATGATAATTTACTTACATATGATATAGTTACTCCTGAGTATAGTTACCACTACGCCTGCGTAGTGGTCTATTTATTAAAGTTATTAGCAATAGTTTTGTTTTAACTAAGTCTCTTGCTGCGTATGTGTGTGTATGTGTTTTATTATAAAGCTTTCACTAATAGATAGACAGACAAATAATTTGCGAAAAAAGTTTTAATGAATTATCCTATTAAGGTTTTGTTGTATTAAATTATAGCCCTAACAATCTATAACAAAATATTTTAAGCTATTGCCATTATGTCTACAAAGATAGCCCGTTTTCTACAAAAATCAGCATATATATCACTACATAAATATTTACACATCTCAATGTAAAGTCTATTGAGGTCAATCTCAATGAAAAATATACAGCTCTTACTTAAAGTTACTCTTTATCGGTTTCAGGAAATATTCATTGTATACGCTTCAGGTATTTCAATATTTTACATAACAAAATGGGTCACATTTTCAGGTTAAAGTATTGTTCAAGTAGTAATACAAAAACCAATAACAGTTTTTGTATAAATAAGTGATAATAAATAAAACCTCGGGCCAAGAAAATTACTCAAACAAGAACGTGGATCTTATTTAATTGTATACAAGTAAATATACATGAGGGTCTAAATCAAAGTACCCAATAATACTTGATTGAACTTAGGCTAGTTTGAGAGGCGCACTGACCGCACGCTGACTATCCGCGCTGATGACCGAGATATAGGTTGGTTTTGATGTTGCACTGACGGCACGCACGCCCTATGTGCTGATGAGACCAGACATATGAACTTTTAGGAAGCGTGTTTAAATGATGCGTAGCTATCAACCCGCACGTTTGTCAGCTCGACACTAAACCCAGCCTTAATTATGAACTTTTTGGAACCGTTTTAAAATGTTGCGTAGCTATCTGCATATCTGCACAGTTCGTAGAAGTTCATTTATCTCGGTTGCCAGCGCTGACGGTCAGCGTGCCGTCAACGTCAGACAAAAACCAGCCTTATTACAACAATACCAAGTGTGTAACTACTAACTACCACTCGAACAATGATATGGGTAGTTTTGGTACAATTACGTACCTCTACATGTTGTAATCGATAAAGAAGTCTTAAAGATAAAACAATTCTGTAGTTTGTATAATGAATTGATTTCATACGAAAGTCTACCACACGTACTAGACTGTAAGAAGATTTGTCTACAAACAAAGAACATTAATCTATCTTTTTCAAGAGCCCTACTGTACTTGTCATAACAATTTATATCTACTAACAATACGTCTAAAGTGATACAAGCATTTTTTTTTCAAATAGCTGTACTTACTTATTTTTGTATTGACTACAGTAAACTCAAATGAAGTCGGTTAAATAAGAAAAAATGTGATCATAAAATAGAATAAACAGTAGGTCAGTTAAAGGCCAATCTTGAAGTCATTGGGTGAGGTCAATGTTCAGTAATTGCAGTTTTCATCTTATATGATGATGGTGAAGAAGACCACTTCATCAATCACTCAATTGCAATCAAATTTGGGAATTTGACTTCGAAGCTATACCATTGACGATCTCTCGGGGTTTTTAACTTAATCTACAAATAATGTCTACTAAAAATGATTATTTATTTTCTCTGAACCAGTTTTCTCAATCATTTCTTATCACAAGCATTCAGTTTCGTGTAGTACCTATTTACTGTAATATTTTCAGCTGTGTACTAGATCCGATGATTTACGTAAACCCATGCATCAACGATAAGCATTCGAGTTTATTTCATACCGCGATATACATAGGTATAATAGATTAGATTTGAATATACTTCTTCGCGCCCCACGACGGAACAGCGCAAAAATATTACCAATTTATATTATCACTAGCTGTTGCCCGCGACTTCGTCCGCGTAGATTAATATGACTTCTGACAGAATTAATCATAATCAATTCAGTGCCCAAGTGAGATTTACCTATTTTGAAATGTTTTATCGTAGTTTCAATAAATAAATAATCCCGCAGGGATCTTACCAGTACAGTGCCCGATCACGTAAGGTACTTGAGTAATAAAAACTATTCTATCGACTATTGTTGTACCGAATCTCTCTAAGTAGAATAAGTTCAGTGGTTAAGAGTTAGAGAGTCCTGGGGCATTGACGCATAGTTCCCGTTCTCGTGAGACATCTGTGAAAAAACTATCAAACGTTACCCAGGTCCCAAATCATCGTTTTACCGAATTTAATTCTAAAAGAATCAATGATTCTAAATTCAATGGCTAAGAAGATTTATACAAACTCTCATTCCCTATTTTATCCCCTTAGGGGTGGAATTTATCAAAATCCTTTCTAAGGAGATACCTATGTCATAGCAACTTTATGCATGCAAAGTCTCAGCCCGATCAATTTAAAACTGGCAAAGTATCATACAAACTTTCACCCCTATTTTACCCACTTTGGGGTGAGAATGTTCAAAAACCTTTCTAAAGGGACGTTTACGTCATAATATCCATCTGCACGCCGAATTTCAACCCGATCGGTGTAAAACTGACAAAGCTTCATACAAACGTTAATCCCCTACATTACCCCATTGGAAGTGGAAATAATCAAAAACCTTACTTGGGGATGCCTACGTCATAACATCTACCTGCATGCCGAATTTCATCTGCATCGGTGTAAAACTGACAAAGCTTCATATAAACTTTCACCCCATATCTTACCCCCTTAGGGGTGGAAATGATCAAAATCCTTTCTTAGCGGATGCCTATGTGATAACATCTATCTGCATGTCAAATTTCAATTCGATCGATTTAAAACTGACAAAGTCTTATACAAACTTCCATCCCCTATTTACCCCCTTGGGGGGGAAATTATCAACATCCTTTCACAGCGGATGCCTACGTCATAACATCTACCTGCATGCCGAATTTCATCTGCATCGGTGTAAAACTGACAAAGCTTCATATAAACTTTCACCCCATATCTTACCCCCTTAGGGGTGGAAATGATCAAAATCCTTTCAGCGGATGCTTACGTCATAACATCTATCTGCATGTCAAATTTCAACCCGATGATTTAAAACTGACAAAGTCTTCATACAAACTTTCATCCCCTATTTTACCCCCTTGGGGGTGGAAATTATCAAAATCCTTTCACAGCGGATGCCTACGTCATAACATCTATCTGCATGTCAAATTTCCACCCGATCGATTTAAAACTGACAGTCTCATACAAACTTTCATCCCCTATTTTACCCCCTTGGGGGTGGAAATTATCAAAATCCTTTCAAAGCGGATGCTTACGTCATAACATCTATCTGCATGCCAAATTTCAACCCGATCGTTTAAAACTGACAAAGTCTCATACAAACTTTCATCCCTATTTTACCCCTTGGGGGTGGAAATTATCAAAATCCTTTCAAGCGGATGCCTACGTCATAACATCTATCTGCATGCCAAATTTCAACCCGATCGG